CCCCAGGGAGCTGAAGGTGCAGTCCTTCCTCCCCAGCGGCAGTGTGTACCCCAGGGAGCTGAAGGTGCAATCCTTCCTCCCCAGCGGCAGTGTGTATCCCAGGGAGCTGAAGGTGCAATCCTTCCTCCCCAGCGGCAGTGTGTATCCCAGGGAGCTGAAGGTGCAGTCCTTCCTCCCCAGCGGCAGTGTGTAACCCAGGGAGCTGAAGGTGCTGTCCTTCCTCCCCAGCGGCAGTGTGTACCCCAGGGAGCTGAAGGTGCCGTCCTTCCTCCCCAGCGGCAGTGTGCATCCCAGGAAGCTGAAGGTGCCGTCCTTCCTCCCCAGCAGCAGTGTGTACCCCAGGGAGCTGAAGGTGCCGTCCTTCCTCCCCAGCGGCAGTGTGTACCCCAGGGAGCTGAAGGTGCCGCCCTTCCTCCCCAGCGGCAGTGGGTATCCCAGGGAGCTGAAGGTGCCGTCCTTCCTCCCCAGCGGCAGTGTGTATCCCAGGGAGCTGAAGGTGCCGTCCTTCCTCCCCAGCGGCAGAGTGTCCTGCAGGGAGCAGAGACCGTCAGTCTCGCACCCCAACCACAGGACAAAATAATGAAAGGGGAGACAGCTGGTCCCCCTCTTCACCAGCAGAGAGAGTGTCAGGGAGAGGAGCCTGATACCCCCTCTCCCCAGCGGCAGTTTACAGTTCAGAGAGAGGAGCTTGTTACACCCTCTCTCCAGCGGCAGCCTAAACCAGCAAGGGGAGATGTTACACCCCCCAACAGTGCAGATGGGACTGTAGTCTCTGCACTTACAGCACAAGGGGTAGGGACAGTTGGTCCTGTTCCCCAGCCACAGAGCGGTGTATCCAGAGGGGAGACAGTCGGTCTCTACCTCCCACAACCAGGCTCCCACCAGGCTACTTCCGTGGTAGCACTGGCATCAGGGCAGAGTACCGCTGGCCTCTGCCCACTCAGCAACCCACCAAGGCAGCCTAACAGTTGCCCACACAGTCGTGGTGAGGCACCTGGACATGGACAAAGTTCTCCTCTACCCAGGTGTAGTAACCAGTTATTGTGGGTGGGCTGTACTGCTGTTTCTGTTTTGTGGGTGGGTTGCTGGACTAACCAGGGCACTGACCGCCAGGAGGTCAGATACCCTGTTAGTCTAGTTGGTAAAGGGGAGAAGTGTGGCGAAACCAACCTCGCCACTGTGAACTGGAGAAGCCTGGTTGCTCGCCTGCTCCCTTTGGACTATGGCCCTGCAGGTTAAACCGTTTATTTCCCCAGCAGAAAGGCTTATTTGTGTGATCTGAGTGCCATTCATCTAATAATGTGCACTCAGATCCCAGCTATCTGGGGATATGTGAAATGTCTGTGTGTTATGTGTAAATGTGACTTTATGTATTTTAAAGTGTTTTGTGTCTTTTGCAACCATGTGCTTAATGGAGTCTTGTGTCTGTCCTGGGAGATAATTGAATTACTTATCTCCAGGATAGAAGACTCTGAAACTGGTTTGGGCCAGAAAGCCATGCTTCATTTAGTCACAAAGGACTTTTTACTAACTTTTGAACCCCTTGTCTGATTTGTGCCATTTTTTGAATATGTTGTTCCCCTGAATGGATTGATTGTGAATATGTAATTTTATGTGAATGTGATGTATGGTTTTGGAGTTATGAAAGTTGGGTAGAAAGTATGTTTCAACTGTATGTATAATTGAGTTTCCTCTCAGGATAAGGGGAGGGAATATGTGGGATGTAACTGTGATGTGATTGGTTGTTTTGTAACGCCTGTGGGCTGTACTATGTTTGTGGATTGGGAATAAAAGAGACTGTATGTGACAGTACAGGGAGTTCCTGTTTTAACCCTCAAAGTGAAGTGTCGTCTCATTATTGGGGGAAGGATTCATTGTATGCTGTTCCAGTTTGACTGCTAGGAGAGTAAACCTATTTGTATGGTTCCTATTCAACTGTCTACAGCATTCATATGCTTGAGAGGATTCATATGCTCCTACGGTTTGGTGGTTTTGGTGTCTGCTGCAGTGCTTGGAGTCCTCAGGAAGTGCTAGGAGCATCCTTCAACGGAGGTGCCCAGTCAGGGTGCCAGGCGATCCGTTACAGGTCCTTCCCTTGCTCCCTTCCCACTCCCTCCCTTACCTGCCTTCCCTCTGACCTTCCTCTCCGTGTGGTTGCGTCCCCTGGAGTGGCTGGTACCTCTGCCTCCTGTCCTCAGGCGGCTGCTGGGCAGGATGGCACTGGATGGAGCAGTCTGGAGCAGGGTGATGGCCCTCCTTTTCCCTCTGCTCCCTTGGAGCAAGCTCGACTGCTCTCACCTACCAGCAAGTCTCCTCCCCTGTTTGTCCCCCAGTCTGTTTCCCTGGATGTGTCCAAGTTTGTCTTCCAGTCTGTTCCCCCTGCTTCCCTATGTGTTCCCCTTATGTCTGAATGTGTAACCAGTCCCCCTGTTGTTCCTGTTGTTCCTGGTGCCGCGGGTGCCGCTGGCGCTATGGAAGACAGGACTGCAGGGGACTCCCATGATCCTCAGCCAGCAGTCCATACTGAGGAAACCGCCAGTGGAGGTAAGAAAAGTATGACTAACATTGTGTTTGACTCCACTGGTGGTTTAGGGATGGCTGAGGAGGATGGGAGTATGGATGTAAATGTAATGATGGGACCTATTGGCCTTAGTAAAAAGGTCCACAGCCAGCCTGTTTGTATTAATGATGTTGCCCCTGCCCCTGGTGTTGTTGCCCCTGCCCCTGGTGTTGTTGCCCCTGCCCCTGGTGTTGTTGCCCCTGCCCCTGGCGTTGTTACCCCTGCCCCTGGTGTTGTTGCCCCTGCCCCCGGTACTATTGCCCCTGGTGTTGTTGCCCCTGCCTCTGGTTATGTTGCCCCCGCCCCCGGTACTATTGCCCCTGCCCCCGGTACTATTGCCCCTGCCCCTGGTACTGTTTCCCCTGCCCCTGGTTATGTTGCCCCCGCCTCAGGTTATGTTGCCCCTGCCCCTGGTTCACTGGAGTTAGTTGGTACACAGGTGGCGGGCACGAGCACAGGCACCCTGACAAAGGGTGCCGCGGTTATAAATAGTTTAGACGCACAAGCAGGTACACGGGTTCCCCTTAGGCACTCCCAGGCTGTCACCCAGGGTTCTGGTGTGACCGAGGCCTCTGGTTCAGCGAGGGGAGTCCGTCCGAATCATTCCCAGACGGCGGGTCCCGGTGCGCCCAATGCTTGGGCATCTGGGCCACCTCGCCTCTCTGCGGACGGGCCTGCTACGCGTCCTCAGGTTTCTTTTGGGAACAGGAGGAACGTGGTACGGCTCATCTGTGGGGGTGAGACCCAGGTGCCTGACAGACGGTGGCTGGTGACCCGGCTAAAGGAAATGGGATTTGCGCCCGTGGACCTGTACGCGCTCATCCATGCCTCGGGCACCCGGGAGTTCGACGTCTCCTTTATGACATCGCAGCTCCTGGATCGCTTCTGGGCTGGGTGGGAAGCGGCCAGGTCTGCACAGGGTACAAAGTGGGCAGGTTTCACCGCTGTGGCCATTTCTCGCCAGGGTCTTAAGAAGGTCACTTTCCTGGTGAGAAATGAATCCATCCCCATAGCAGACATCCTTGTTTGGACTAAGAGGTTTGGGGATTTTAAATCCCCCCCTGTTAAGATCTTAGATGAGGATGGGATTTGGACAGGCGGATGGACTGTTTCAGTGTTGCTGCGGGAGATTCGAGGTGTCACACAGCATATGCCTAATAGTTTTTTCATCGGGGCTGACCGGGTATCCTGTTTTTGCCCTGGTCAGCCCAGGGTATGTCACAAGTGCGGATCGTACAGGCATTACAGCAATGCCTGTACGGTCCTCAAATGCACTATGTGCGGCGCTGTGGGGCACCTCCGGGACAGCTGCAGGGAGATCCGGTGTCATCTGTGTTCAGAGATGGGTCACACGTACCGCACCTGCCCTGAAGCCCAGCACAATGTAGAGTCCATCTGGAGTCAGGAGCCGGTGGAGATGGACTCTGCTGGGTTAGGGGTTCAGGTAGCATCGTCATCTACAAGGCCCATCTCTGGCACAAGGGTTTCCCTGCCCCAGCAACAACCCATCCTCCCCTCGGTCTCTGTAACATCTCAGGACCCTGGGAAGGCCACAAGTTCACGTCCCCTCACGAAAAGTAGAGAACGCACTACCTCCACAGCCATTATGGCTCCCCCTAGACCCCCTCCCCCTAGGCCCCCCCCTCCTAAATTCTCCACGGTGAAGGTTACCCCCACTGAAAAGTCCCCAGATGCAAGTCCCTTAGATGCACAGTCCCTAGAGTGGAGCACGGTGAAAGGTAAGAAACCCCCCCCCTCCAAGACCTCGACGCTGCCCTCACCCCGGAAGATCGCCATACCTCCTGCGGCGAAACCCCCGAAAGGGGGAGACGCCACTTATAAGGGTGGTGTGGCACGGGCGTCATCCTCCTCTTCGGGCTTGCAGGAGGCCTCGGTGCCCGTATCTAACAGGTACGAGGCACTGTCCTCCAGCTGGGCCGACTGTGAGTACGAGGAGGAGATGGCGAACCTCCCCGAGGTGGTGGCAGGGGTTGAGGTGGGACAGGAGGTGCTTCTGAGAGACGACGGGCCACTGTATCCCGGAGTCTCAGTGAAGAGGTTCCTCGGTTCCGACACGGAGGAGGAGGGGTACCGCAGAAGGAAGGGAAAGTCTCCTTATACTTGATGCCCTTATGGCGACTTTTCCTGTACTCTCTGTGGCTACGGTGAATGTAAACAGCATTAAGTCCAGCAGGGCCCGCTTTTTGGTTTACGACCACCTCAGCCGGGCTCCGTACAATGTCATCTTGGTACAGGAGACCCGGCTGGAAACCCTCGCGGCCCTGCACGCTGCAAAGCGGGACTGGAGATGGGGCCCTCCTACTTCTCTCTAGCCACAGAGAGATATGGGGGAATCGCCATCCTATTTAAGGACGTTGATGTTAGCATCAACAGGGTTATTGAGTTGCAAAAAGGACGGTGTGTGGTTTTAGATGTCTCAATGGGCAGGCAACCTTTCAGGATAATTAATATCTATGGCCCCCAATCTAAGTGGGAGAGGAAACGCCTGTTTATTGAGATAGAGCCTTACCTTTATACATCCCAGCAAATCCTGTTTGGCGGTGACTTTAACACCATAACTAGGCCTCAAGACAGGAGAGACGCCACTCAGAGGCTGGGGTATGACTCCTATTTTTTAAATAAGATGGTTAGTCAGGCTGGATTGGTCGATGTGTACCTTCATCACACTCCCAATCCCACGGGTGGGTACACTTATCACAGAGGTAGCTGTCAGAGTAGGATAGATAGGTTTTTCTTTAAGGAGAATTTCCCCGTGGCGGCACCCGTGCTTACACCGGTGGAGTTCTCCGACCATCACATTTTGTCTTGCGAGTTGAACGTCTATAGTACCCCACCTAAGGGTAGAGGGATCTGGCGGCTAAATTCAGACCTCCTGGTGGAACAGAGGGTTCAGCAAGCCTTCATGGAATTCTTTCACGATCAGATGACATTGGCCAACTTAGGCCAAACGAAGTCTGAGTGGTGGGAGATGGTGAAGGCCAGAACTCAACGGCTGTTTCACAATCTCGCCCGGAACATGCAGTCCTCCAGGTACAAGATGTATCTGGGCTTGCTTGGGAGGTTAGACATCCTGATCTCGCAGGGAGGTGACCCTGAGGACATTGCGGCAGTTAAAAACCTGATGAGGAGTTATCAGTATGACAGGTACGCCTCCCTTGTAAAAGAGAGGGATCATGGGTCATACCGCTCGCCCGATCCTTATCTTAGCTGCAAGCGGAAGGAAGGTACCAAGTCCATCCCTAGTCTGCGGGGCACCGACGAGACCCTAGAGGAGTCTCCTCGCGGGATTCTGAAGGTGGTCCGCGACTACTATATTGAGCTCCTCGGAAAGGGCAGCCCCCAATGTAGCGAGGAGGGAACCTCCCACGGGAGAAGGGTGGATGACTTCTTGAGCGAGCTCACGCTCCCTGAGCATAGCGACCTCTCTTTTGACGAGTTGGTCAGCAAGATCACCATAGAAGAGGTCACAGAGAGTATCCAACAGCAGAACAAGTGTAAGTCGCCAGGTCCTGATGGTCTGACGGCCGAGTTTTACCAACAGTTCTGCGACCTCTTGGCCCCTCATCTGACCGAGGTGTTTAATGAGAGCTTGGCTCAAGGATTATTGCCACCCTCGATGAGGACTTCTGCCCTGATCTTGCTGTCCAAGCCGAACGTGCTCGACACAGCGGATGTGGGGAACTGGCGCCCCATATCCCTGTTAAATGTTGACAGGAAGGTCCTGGCAAAGATTTTGATGAAACGAGTACAGGGCCTAGCGAGGCGTGTCCTATCCACCTCCCAGTACTGTTCAATCGAGGGCAGAACTGTCTTTGATGCCGTTTTCGAAGTCAGGGAAGCCCTCGAGAAGTGCAGGGACGAAGAAAGGGGGATATACCTTCTGGCACTTGATCAGTCCAAAGCTTTTGATCGAGTAGATCACCGTTATCTGTGGTCAGTCTTGCGGAAGTATGGCTTGCCGGGAAAATTCGTCAATTGGATAATCACCTTGTACAGAGGGGCCGAAAGCTTCGCTCTTGTGAACGGGTGGAGGGGCAGGACGCTTAGGATCCGATCCGGGGTCAGGCAAGGCTGTCCTCTCAGCCCACTCTTGTACGTGTTTGCAGTCGATCCCTTCATCCGAAGGGTCGAGGCAGGCACGTTACAGGGAGTGGCCAGGGCTCCAGAGAGGCCTTTACGGGTTGTTGCCTACGCTGATGACATCTCCATAGTGGTCTCCAATACTCGGGAGGCCACGGAGGTGGATGATTTAATCCTAGCGTATTCTGCCGCTTCAGCCTCTCGTGTCAACAGGGACAAGAGCGTAGTTTTCTGGTGCGGGAAGGAGGGGGACCAGTTCCCTCTTCCAGACGGTTTCCCGAGGGCCCAGCCTGAAATTAAGATCTTGGGGGTGGTGTTCGGACCAGGGGATCTGGCTCTCAGGAACTGGACCGAACGGCTTGCCATAGCTTCTAGCAAGGTGGAGGAGAGCCACAGGTGGAAACTGACGTTCAGAGAACGGGTGAACCTAATCAAAACCTATGTTCTGACCGTATTCGGCTACGTCAGTAACATCTTCCTTTTGCCCAGGTCCCTCCACGCTCGGATGTTTGCGCTGTTCTTCCGCATGTTGTGGGGGAACAGGCTGAACCTCATCAAAAGAGAGGTCACTTACCTGGCCAGAAAGGACGGGGGTCTGGCCATGGTCAACCCCATCGTCTTCTTTACTAACACCTTCCTGAAAAGGAATTTCGGGGCTCTCCTGAAGGACGAGCAGCCTGGCTGGGTATGTATATTCAGGGAGTGGGTCACACCTTTCCTGGTGGACTGGTTTCAGGGTGGGAGGGTGAAGAGCATGAGAGTTCGGCATTCTAGCTATCTTCCGTCTTCGGTCATCGAGGGAGTGGGAATTCTGCGCAGGTGGAACGTCACGGTGGAGGAGGTTCGGGACACTCCCAAGAAGCTTCTCGACGGGAGGGTCCTGGCCACCCACTTTGGCATTCAGCTTGCTTTGAAGGACTGCCCGCCAAGTACTCTCGCCTCGGGGTTGAAAAACATCAACTCCAGGCGCCTTCCGGAGAAATACCGAGACGTGGCGTTTCTCTCCTTCCACGGTAGACTTTACGTTCGAGGGAACTTGTACAGGAACATAACGGATCGTGGTTGTCCTCGGGTGGAATGTTCCGGGGAAGTGGAGTCCATTGACCACTTCCTCCTCGAGTGCCCCTTTAACGTACAGGTCTACAAAGAGGTCTCAGCCGCCTTAGGCATCCCCTGCTTATCCCGCTGCACTTATGCGGAGTGGGCGTATGGGACGTCCAACTCAAGGGGGAGGGCTTTTGATTTGGGCACTCTTTATGTAGTCAGTTCAGTGGTTAAGTATTTCACTTGGATGGCAAGGTGTCAGGTTTCCCTTCAACGTAAAGACCTTTCCTGTCAGGTGGTGGTAGCAGACATTCTGAGGGCGGTTCGTGGGATCTATACCACCGAAAGGGCCTCTATGGATCCCACCATTTGGCAGCGTTTGTGGCGAAATCTCAAGGTCCACCCGCCTTGAACCGCTCCATAGACGCCCTTGTCTTGGTGAAGGGAATTCCAAATCTGTCTTCACCTTTCCCCCGTAGATTTTGAACTGGTTTTTCTTTTCATGGAAGGCTGCCACCTTTAGCAGACGAGTACCTTCCTCTGCGTCTAGGTAGTGCAGTGTAGTTAGCAGTGGTGTATCCTGGTTTTGTGCTGCCCTAGGCAGGACAAAACTCAGGCGCCCCCCTGCCCCCGCGCCACCCCCACCCAACCCTTCCCCCCGCCCCACCTTCTAAATACACACACAGTCAGACACAAACACACACACACAGTCAGACACATACACACACACACACACACACACACAGTTAGACACATACACAAACACACACAGTCAGACACATACACAGACACAAACACACAGTCAGACACATAGTCAGACACACACGCAGTCAGACACACACGCAGTCAGACACACACGCAGTCAGACACACACGCAGTCAGACACACACGCAGTCAGACACACACACAGTCAGACACACAAACACACACAGTCAGACACACACGCAGTCAGACACACACACAGACACAAACACAGTCAGACACACACACACAGTCAGACACACACACAGAAACACATACACACACAGTCAGACACATACACAAACACAGTCAGACACATACCTAAACACAGTCAGACACAAACACACACTCTGAAACACAGTCAGACACAAACACACACATACACACAGTCAGAGACACACACACACAGAGACACACACGCTCACAGAAACACACAGTCAGACACAAGAAGCACACACGGTCACAGAAACGCACCGCACAAAACACACACACGGTCAGACACGTACACAAGCCGATCAGATTTGCAAACGCACACACACTCAGACACATACACAGACACGCAAACACCAGTCAAACACAAACACGCAGTCACAAACACGGTCAGACACATACACAAACACAGTCAGACACATACACAAACACAGTCAGACACAAACACACACACACTCACAAACACAGTCAGACACAAACACACACATACACAGTCAGAGACACACACACACAGAGACACACACACTCACAAACACACAGTCAGACACAAACACACACAGTCACAAACACACACACAAACACACACACAGTCAGACACATACACAAACACAGTCAGACACAAACACACACACACACTCAGACACATACACAGACACAAACACAGTCAAACACAAACACACACAGTCACAAACACACACAGTCAGACACATACACAAACACACTCAGACACATACACATACACAAACAGTCAGACACAAACACACACACACTCAGACACATACACAGACACAAACACAGTCAGACACAAACACACACACACTCACAAACAGTCAGACACAAACACACACATACACAGTCAGACACACACACACACACAGTCAGAGACACACACTCACAAACACACAGTCAGACACAAACACAGTCAGACACAGTCACAAACACAGTCAGACACAAACACACACACACTCAGACACATACACAGACACAAACACAGTCAGACACAAACACACTCAGACACATACACACACACTCACAAACACACACACACTCACAAACACAGTCAGACACAAACACACTCAGACACATACACACACACTCACAAACACACACACACTCACAAACACAGTCAGACACAAACACACACATTACCTTTTTTTTTTATTTAAATCCCCCCCCCAACCTCCTTACCTTTGGGAGTGCTGGGGGGGGTCTCTCTCCCTGGTGGTCCAGTGGCTGCAGGGCGGGCGGCGCTGGCAGGCGGGCGGCTGGCGAGGGAGCACTTCCTATGAGCTGACTGCTCAGCTCCCTCGCGCGCCGGCTGCAGAGTGAGGCTGGGAGCCGGAAGATTACGTCATCTTCCGGCTCCCAGGCTCACTCTGCGGCGCGCGAGGGAGCTGAGCAGAGAGCTCATAGGAAGTGCTCCCTCGCCAGCCGCCCGCCCGCCTGGGATGTCAGTTAGCCGCGAGGCTAACTAGGCATTTGCCTTGGGCATTTGGGGGGCGGCGTTTTTTGCCGCCCCCTGAAAAATGCCGCCCAAGGCAAATGCCTTGTTTGCCTCGCGGCTAATACGCCCCTGGTAGTTAGGTTATGGTTATGGTTATGCACAGGTTATTTTTGGTATTGTTTGGGTTAGGGTGGGTTTCTGGTGTATGGACAAATTGAAAAATTTACTTTGGGTGGAAAAAAAAAAAAAACAAAAAAAAAACACTGGGTTTCTTTATGGACGGAGGGATGGACTCCTTGAGGGTGGTGTACAAACTGGATTTCATGTGGGTGGTGGGTCTATGGACAAAATTTTGATTTCATGTGGGTGGTGGGTTTGGATGTGATGAACTGAGAAAAGGACTCCATTTGGGTGGTGGGTTTGGGGGATGGACGGAGGGATAGACTCCATGAGGGTGGTGGGTTTTATGGACTGAAAATGGACTCCATTTGGGTGGTGGGTTTGGGTTTAAAGTTTGGGTTTAAAGTGTAGGTGGTGGGTTGGTGTTGATGGACGGAGGGATGGACACCATGTGGTTGGTGGGTTTTATGAACTGAGAAAAGGACTCCATGTGGGTAATGGGTTTGTTTATGTTTATGTGTGTATTTTATTTCACGCTTGGTTTATGTTTGTGTTTAGCTGGCTGTGGACTCGAGGTCAATTGGGTCCCACCTTGTCCCCCCCTTGTTATGTAAGAGCTCCTTCAGGAGCATTTCAGCCTTTTTTCTCCCTCCCCAAGGCTCCATGAAGTAATGGAGCCCCCGCCTTTTAATTTATCCCCTTATGATTTAGTTCCCTCCCCCTTTTCTGTTAATCCCTCTCCCTGTTATTCCCAGTTATTTAATTTGGTATAAGTTTATTAGTGCCCCTTCCTGAGTTTTTATTTCGGTATTTATGTTTCATTTGGTATTATGTTTGAATTGGGTATTATTTCAGTTGATTGTTTATTATTGTTATTTTGTTATTTATTTTGTTATTCTGTTTAATTTTGGAAGCATTTTACAAACTAAATAAAATAAAATACTGTCTCCCCTGGGTACATTAAGCTGCCGCTGGGGAGAGGGGGTAACAAGCTCCTCTCCCATATATACTTCCAGCCGCGGGGGAGGGAGACCGACTGTCTCTGCTCCCAATACAGAGTCCTGCTGCTGGGGAAAGGAGACTGGGCTCTCTATTCCCGGTAGGACACTCTGCCGCTGGGGAATGGAGACGGGGCTCCCAATTCCCAATGATCTGTGCTGCCGCTGGGGAATGGAGACTGGGCTCCCAATTCCCAAAGCATCTAACTGCCGCTGGGGAATGGAGACTGGGCTCTCAATTCCCAAAAAATCACGCTGCCGCTGGGGAGGGAGGACACTGCTCTCCTCTCCCTGGACTTCACACTGCCTTCCCGGCATATCACTTGGCTGCTGGGGGGCAGGAACAACTACCTCTGCCCCCTGTAACTCAGCCTGCCGCTGGGGAGGGAGGACGCTGCTCTCCTCTCCCTGCACTTTACACTGCCG